AAGTGTAAATACTTCCCAACATCCTCGCCGGGGGAGATACAGGGTAGGAGCAGTTGTCCATAGACATCCATCTCACCAAAAGATCAATGCCTGAAGGTATTAATTCCCCTAAACCTTCTAAAGGGCAGGTTGTGTGTGTATGTGTGCATTGGGAAGTAGGGCCAATGAGACCCTTTAGGCCTCTGTACAATCAGAAAAACAGAAAGCAAAAAAATAAAATAAAATCAGAATGCAGGCTTCAGGAGAGACACTGTAAGCAAGAAGTGTACAAATGATATTTGAAAGGATACAACCTCCGCAGAGGAGTTAAGACACAAGATTAGTAGGATCAGCTAGAGATCCTGCTGCCACCATTCATCCTGAAGCCATAGCTGATAGTCTGTTTTGATGGTTCCTACTTCCTGGTAGAATTATTCCATGGAGACCAGAACCTCTAACCTAGTAGAGAAATGGGAAGCACAAATTCTGCCTTTGAGTTACTGGGAAGCATTGTGAGAAAGGCCAGTATTATTTCTACTTCTTGGTTTCCAGGCTTGTGTATTCCATCTATGGGGGACGAGGGATAAGACCATATCTATCAGGAGTTGGTTATATGAACATAAGTGTATTGAAAAATGGTACCACAACCTTTTTAGGGTATTTGATCTAAGCAAGAAGTCTTGCTGATGTTCACTAGACCATGTCAATGTTCCATTAGGCATCTACCTATAGATGGCCCAAAGCGCCCAGTGTTCCAACTGCCTTACCATCAGTGCATTCTTTAGTCAGTGGCAATATGTCAGAAAATTACATGTGCATGAGAGAATAGTGCTGACAAAGGCACTGTGATCAAGGAAAACTCTTTTCACAAGAGATGTCAACTCCATAACAATATACTACTTTTCCGCTTTCAATCCTGATGAAATTGTGGCCCCTGACCCAAACAACAATCTCCATAATAAACTCTAGTATTGCCTTTCTTCTTTGTCTCCCTCTCCTTTTTATCTACCATTTTATCTGAGATGATTTTCCAAACACCATCTGAACACAGGTTCTTGCCTCAAATTCTTGTTGGATGAAAAATAAAATAAGGGATATTATAGATTCTCTCAAAATTAGATGCCCCCAAATTTGGCAGACTGATTCATTGCAGGTTTTATCTCCCACTGTGTCACACATGTATCTTCCTATGTTGTAGTACTTACCTCTTGTTCTCTAGATCCAACATATATGTCAAGATCATAGAGGACAAATAAAGTAATCTGCAACATTTCATGACAATCAAGGTTCTTGCGAAACTAAATCATAATAGAGAATAGGAGTTATCCCAACCCTAGAAAAAGCCAGTGAATGAATATTGCTGCTATTTTATAAAGAAGCCAACAGTTGTTGCTATGATTTACTGACAAGAACATTATCCAGATCAATAATCATATAACAGAGACCTTGCTTTTATTCTAGTAAAAATCCCACAGCTTGCACAGTACCTGCCACTGGGCTGTCATGTGGCTAAGTTACAATAGTCCAGATTGGGCGATGTATTGGGGAACCCCTACTTAAGATACCTGTGGTGGCATTCAGGGTTCTTCCTTCAAAGGATCTGTTTCGCCCTCAATTGATGAACCTGGGTGTAAGACAATTTTTACTGAAGCAGCTGATGTTAGCCTTTTGCTCACCAGTTCTGTTTGTTTCCTGATTAGGCAAGGTAAGTGACATGCTTAGGCTATCCGTTTCCCCTTTAAGTAACCTGGTTGCCACTCTGCCTTTGCTGCTTTCCATAGTAATTATATCCTCTTGCTTCTGTTGGCTAAAATCTTCTACTGGGTTCCTGCCATTCTGTAATCCTATCACCCTTAATGCCCCTACTAAAATTAGGTAGCCCACAGAAGCATTTCCTTATGTTTCATCTTCATCCTCAATCCACCACAGGTAACAGTCTTAGTAACTGTGATGTCACAGCACACCAGGAGCTATCACCACCTTATTTGCCACCAACAGAGTTCAAGTAACCTAGTTACAGAGTTCTGAGGGTCTGTTATTATCAGTATCATCTTACATAAACTTTTTAGCTAGGTATTCCCCAGAAGCATAACCTAAGAAAACCTACTTGAATGAAAACAGGTTATTTTGCAGATAATCCTAGTAAGAAACAATGAAAGAATAGGGAGAAGGGTACAAACTGTGATAAAAGACTGTGTTCTTGAAGTTGCTGTTATGGGCAACCAGAACTTAGTTTCATTACAACTACCTGAGATAGTCACAGAATAGCCTACCAAATTGTTTTGCTGAAGGATATAAAAAATTACCCCAGATGAGTTAAGTAACCAACACTTCAAAGCTGTGCATAGCACACACTGAGAGAGCTACTGATGGTATCTACAAAGTCAGAAGAACCTTGGGACAGAAAACATTGGTCTGGTAAACTTGAGAGAAATTACTGGGAGAAATGCATGGAAGCTAGCAGGATGCTGTTTCCCCCCAACCCAACCAAGGCAGAAATCAGAGGTGATGGTGAAAATATGTGAATTGGGGCACTAAAGGAAGAAAAGGAGGAAACAAGACCTGAGGTTGTACCTGAGAGGGCCATGTTCCGTGCAGAAGGAACAGTAGATAACAAAGCACTGATGCTTGGTGTGCTTGGAGAGGGTTAGATGGGCTCTTGGAGAGGGTTAGATGGATGAGTAGCTTGGACATGACCCACCAAAAACAAGTGATAAGCCAAGGTAAGGGGCTGTGAACTTGGAGTAAAATTGTTAGTCATCAAAGGGTTCCGAGTAGAGTAGCATATCCTATATCAGATTCTAAAAAGATCACTCCAGCTGTTGAGTGGAACTAAGCTGTAAAGAAATAAAGGGGACACATAAGACTCTTGTTTGATGGCTACTGTGATGTTATCTCTTATACTGTAAGTTTTATAGAACCATTACGTTCTCACATGTATCCCATAACTCCTTTGGGGCAGAGAGCTCATAGTTACAATTTACGGATTATGTATATAACCTAGATGTATGCCCACTGAGAAATAATTATTGTATAAGTAGCTGACAGTAATATTAAACCTACATTATTTAATTACAGTATATCACTGAAAGTCTTTGTCTTTTACAATCTCTTTAGAAAATGTAAGTTTTCTAGAGTATTTGTTTCAACATTTGTAAAATGCTGATAACTCTGGCCTACTAAGATTAGTAAGTACTAACCTGAAAATGCCTAATCAGACCTTTTCTTTCTCACCATAGCTGAGAGTAACAATTATCTGCCTTGTTGTAATACGATCCCTCGCTTTCAACACAAAACATAAACTCTGCTGTTACTGCAAACTTCCTGAAAAATTTTAAAAGTTTACACAACTGATTGCATTCTGACATTTATATTAATCCAATCCATCCCTTTCTTGGCACCTGATGCAAGGTCTCAAACAGGGACCCTCTTCCTTAGGGTCATTTTTTTTCTTTTTACATCACTGTTAATATAAAAACCACTCATCATCAATCCCATCTTTTTACTTCAGTGCACCTCGGGGAGTACAGACATGGCCTTAAGTTTTCAGGGTTAAGAAGCAATCAAAACAGTGGCGAGTTTGACAGGTCCCAGGAAACTCGGGGGCTGTAGCTACAAGCTGAATCACAAGATCAGAAACCAAGTTTCCTTCCACCCACCCCATTGAAAAGGCAGGTGCGTCTAGTGCGTTGCACGGCCGCATCACCTCCCTGAGCCCGGGTGCGGGGAGGAGAACCCAGGGATCTTTAAATCCGGGTCCAACATCCTCCACGTGGCCGCCTTCTCAAAATTCAGTCCACGGCCGCCTACGCGGAAGTCGCCTCCCCAGAGGGCACCCAGAGGCCTGAGCACACCGGCGATAGCGGGGCCCCGAGGCCGGAAACACGCGGGACACTGATAGTGTTCTCAGTGGACCTGCTACAGCGCTGTCCTCTCACGGCCCGGCCCTCCACGGCTGAGCGCGTCCCACACTGCGAAACACACAGAGCAAGCGCTGGAGGCCACGGCGAGCGCGTCGACGTCGGCCCCGGGCCTGGAAGGGGCGGGGTCGCACTCCTGCGCACGCGCGCAGAGACACATAAGCGGAAGTGGCGCATGGGTGCCGGTGATGAGAGCGCCTTCCGGGGAGGCGGCAGCGGCTGTGGAAAGTCCAGAAGTAGGAGAGGAAGCGGAGGAAGAGGAGGTGATGGCGACCGACTTGGGGAGGGGGCGACGTTTCGTCTGGCCGAGGCGCCGTCCGGGCTAAGGTCACCCAGGTGACGAGCCGGTTTTGGGGTGGGCGTGCCCCCGGCGCCCTTCTGGTGTTTGGGACCCAGAATCACTATCCCTTAAAGACCTTAGACATTGCGGGTGTCCCCCTCGCTGAAGGAGCTTTCTAGGAGCGGATGAGGTCGGGATGGCAGGAGCGGGTGACTTCCTCTTTAAAAAGGAGCCCACACCTCCGGGCACGGTTTCCTGGGAGGAGCACCTGTTTCTCCCAAACCCGTTACCCTCTTGGGGCTGGTGGGAACGCCTTCAGGCCACCGTGGACTCCCTGGGAGGAGGCCAGCCCCAGGGCTCTCTGGGCTGTGCACCTGTGGGCCTCTGCAGGACTGTCAGGCTCCTGCTTTTCCCTAGGACCATTTGCACTTAAGAATCACTTCCGGGTTCCATGTTTTGAGGGGACTCCACGGTTCTCTGATGCCCATTTCCCTTGCCCTGGAAGGTGACTGACTGTTCTTGCCTTGCTATTGAGTTTATGTTACTAGAAGTTCTGCAAGTTCCTCCAGTCTTTGCAACTGATTTGCTACCTCTGTCTGTTTTTCTTTCAAAGGAATGTTGAAAGCAGAAGGGGGAATCATTTGGTGCACCCACAGAATTTTTTTAAGATATCGGGCATCTGCATTTCTTATGCAGTAGGTTTCCCTGTATCTAGAAAATCCAACGGATTTTGAAAAACAATGGTTGTGACAGTTTGAAACTTGGAAGAGGATGCAATTACCATTTGAATATAATTTAGGTAGTATTATTTGTACTTAATTAACACATAAAATCCTAATTTTAGCATTTTCCCTTGGGGGGAAAAAGTAACAAATTGGCACCGTTTCTCGAACTTTGTATAATGAAGTGTGTAAAAAGAAATGAGACAGAATCTTATTTTGTTTTTTTGGTACTCCATAGGCCGTGGTTGATATACAGTGCAGTTAATCAAGGGAAAATTACACTTTTATTTCTAACATTAAGTGTGGCAAAATACGGAGTCATGTTTCTCAGGTTACTTGCATAGTAATGACAGATTTTTCCTTACGTGCTACCCCACCCCACCCCCCTTTTTTTTTGTAGTGGGAGTCTTTCAGATTAGAAAAGAGAGATTAAGAAATAACTAATTTTTATTTCCTTAGGTCATTATAAGTCATCACTATCACTTTATAATTTTGAAATATCCAATATGTACTAGAGATGCTACCTTTTAATTCCATTTTAGCTGTTATTTGTACCTTCAAGGAACTAAAGGTAGGTATCTATTTTGAGTTTAGAAAGAGAACTCAGGCAGTGATTCACACTTGTGGTTTTCTTTTCTATTTTAGTTTCATGGGTTATTGTGAAGTTCTAAGGCAAAGCCAAATATTGTTTGTTTAATTTGAAAACTATTTTTAATTCCTGTTTCACAAAGACAGGCTCAATTTCTTTAGATGTTAGTTTATATCAGTCCTTAATGTTTTAAATGGAAGGGAAATGGCAAACCTTGGGCATCATTACATGTATATAAATCATGCTGAAAGAGGCCTTCATCGGTCATGCATTCTGATCAGCGGTGTGCAGATTAATAACACAAAACTACATTCTAAAGGCAAAGCATTTAAAGGGTAGGTTTGGTGGTACTGATGCATCAAGCAAGAAAGGGAAAGAAACTTATTTTCATGTTCATTTCAGGTGCTTTGTGGAAAATTCAGGAGAGATGTTGGTATTTTTGTTCATGCTTAGAAAGGATAGTGCTGGAGGAATTTAACTGCATATGTGGCCGAGATCTGCAGTTCTGAGGTTGTAAAGAAATATATTGGGAGAGCTAAAATGATGGAATGGAGCAGAATACTGTTGATTCAATGATGGTTACTAAAGTGCAAGAGAGTCCTTCATTTAATATCTGATATTTTTGTTATATGCTTGAACAGCCTGTGAAAGCAATGTCATCTCTTAAGGAACTTATATTTTTGGAGGAAAAGCACACACAAAAGTCATGCCATTATGATTTAGACATTTGTAAATTATGTTTACCTATTACATGTACATAAACCATGCTGTAAAGATCTAGAACAGCAATTAGTTTTTAATGTACAAGGTCTTAATCAAAGTTGCAGCATGGCCAAATTTCGTGTTCATCAGTGTGAAAGATGAGGAGATTATACACAATCTAATCTGGAGAAAATGGCTATTTGATGGTAACGTCAAATATTTTAGATATACTTGTGGATGTAGAGTCAATAGGAATCTTTGCAGGGTGTAAATGTGAGGAATAGGAAAGAATCTTAAGGTAACTCCTGGACTTTGAGTTTATGTTTCATGCTAAGTAACATTACATGATATTGGGAATATAGGAAGAAGAAAAGATTTGTTTTCAGGGGAAAATAAGTTCATATTAGGTCATGTTTCATATATGGTGACAGTAGAATTTCACTGAGATATCAAAGAAGCATTTGGAGAGAGGTCTGGGTAAGAAATACAGATCCATATTTCCAGTTGCACTTCAAAGAGTGAATCAGCTTCAGCACAAGAGACCACACCAATGGTATTTCTAAGTAGTTGAATAATTATCACTGTTTTAGTCGGCCTTTTTGCTGCTGTGACTAAAAGAACCCAACCAGAACAATTGTAGAGGAGAAAAGGTTTGTTTAGGGATCCTGGTTTCAGAGCTCTTCATCCATAGTATTCTGGCTGGCTCCATTCCTGGAGCTCAAGGTGAGGAGAACATCATGGTGGAAGTGTATGGCAGAGGGAAACAGTTGACATCAGGAAGCTGAGAGAGATTCCACTCTCCAGAACAAAATATATACCCCATAGCTTTGCCCCCAAGAAACCACTTGGTCCAGCCACACCCCACCTGCCTCCAGTTAATGTTCAGTTAATTCCATCATGGATTAATCATCTGATTAGATTAAGATGATTCGATCATTTCTCCTCCAAACTTCACATTGTCTCGTGAACTATTGGGGGATACCACATCTAAACCACAACAATCACTAACATACATGTACTGTCATACCATGTACTGAAGACTTTTACATTTATTTCATATGGTCATGGCAAAAATCCTATGGTAACCATATTTTTAACACTTTTCCCGCCCTATTCCCTTCTTAGAGGTACAGAACTTAAAGCTCAGAAAGGTTAAATAATTTGCCCAAGACTCCCTAGCTAATACATAGCAAAACCCAATCTTGAATTCAGATCTGTCTAAATTAAAGCACAATGCTATACTGCTTTCTGAGAAGTATTAGTTAGAATTTTATTCATGTGCTTGGCATTTTGCTGAATTACATACATCACAGAAGAAGGTGACTTTGAGAGAAGTTTACCTTCTGGAGAAGTAGTTTGATATGAACAAAAGCAGGAATGAGATTTTATATAAGCTTTATTCTATACATGTGTTTCTCCAAATTCTGTAAGATTTTTGCTTACAGAATAAAGCTTGCCAACACCATAGCCCATTTCAAACAGAGGGTGACGATTACAAACTGAAGTTTGAGAGTATCGAGAGGAAGGACCAGTTTATTTGCTTTATCCAATTATTGGATGCAGAGACTACAAGAGTATAAATCTTCTCTTTCATCTGCCTCTTCCCAACTGGGGGAGTTAGGGAGGGTGTCACAAAGGAGACATTAAAGCTGAACTTCAAAACCTGACCCAGAGAAAGGAGACCAGGTAAAAGGACATCATGACCAGAGGGCAAGATTATTTGAAAGTCCATGATGTTTTTCAAGAATGAAATATTGGTTTAGGCTTTATTGAAAGAAGTGAGAGAAAGGGAGCTTAGAAGCCTATGTTCTGCCAGATATTTTTAACTGGTGCTCTTTGCCCATGCTTATACATAGCAAATAGTTGTTAAAATTTTTTGTTCTTTATTCAAGCATAGGTTTGATGAAATGTTTAATGAAGATAACTTATTTGTATTATGTTTTTATTAGTACATTATAATTATACATAACAATGGGGTTCACTGTGATATATTTATATTTGCACATTAAAAAATCTTGCTGCATTTCATTTCCCAGTACTTCCCACTTCCCTTCCTTCCCCAATCCCTTTCTTTATTCTACTGGTCTTTCTTTTATGTGTTTACTTTTTTACTTTTTTACTTGGTGCATTATAATTACATATAAAAGCAGGATTCATTAGAGAAAATAATTTAAAGCAGTTTATAAAGACAATCACATCTCAAGGTTATCCTACAAGACAGTGTAAAAAGTCTTAATTGAGAGAGAGCAATGATTGAAACATAACTGAGAAAAAGAACAAAGTAAAGGAAGAAAAAAATAAAGAAAAAGAAACAAAGCAAAACTTTGTAAAACTGCACATTCTCTGTTTAAAAACATAGCACAGACGGTATAAAATAAAGTGTTTTGGTGACTGAAGTGTTCTTAGCTACAAGTTATATTCAGAGCCTCAGCCCTCATTTGAATTAGGGCCTAGTTCATCTTTGTGAATCAGTAAACTGGGAATGATCATAGAGGCAACACTAATTCTTACTATTTTAAACCAACAGTTTCTATTAAAAGATTTCCAAGTGAAGCTCACTGTCAAAATTATACTTATCTCTTCAGCCCTTGGTGTATAATTATTTTCATTCTCACTGGAATCATAATAGTCTTTTCTAGAAAAAAAGGTATTTCCTCATAAATGTGCTCTAATCTTTAATTGTCATTAAATCTTGAGTCTCTTCAACCTTTACATGGAATTTAAATTTCAGTTTATTGAAATCCAAAGAGAAATTGACAGTCTTCCATGATGCCTCATACTTTTTTCCCCCAAAGACTGACAAAAGATGACATATTTTCCAGCCTTTTACACCCCGGAGACTTTTAAAATTAAAATGATCTCCAAAAGAAAAAAATATATATTTTATTTTAGCCTAAGAAATGTTATTACTAAAACATATTATTCATTCTACAGTCTCTGGTAAATTAGCTTTTTAAGCAACTTACAGTTGGGCGACTTTTAAAATGTTACTGGCAAATAGATTTTACAGTTGTTCTAGTATTTAAAGGAACACCACTTATTCTTTACTGTTCTCCAAGTAAAGATTAACTTTAATGTTGAGAATGTTATGCTTACACTATTGTAGATTCTGAAAGTTATCTACTTACTAGATATGAAACCGTAATCTCCTGCTTAATTCTTTAACAAAACAGATTAGCTTTTGGTTTGTTGCTATGGAATGAGTGTGGTCTATATCCAATTTAGTGATGCAGTTGCTCTCTCAAGTTTATACTTGATAAATTGGCAGTTAGGTGTGGTGTTTTTGGTTAAGAGGCTGTAATTGAGAAGTTAAGATAGTACACCCACAGAATTAGCCTCATCTACACAGTTTTATAGTTTACATTAGTATTTGGAGCAATACTTTATGATATAAATGTTTTACTTTAATTGCATATTTCCTTCTCTAGGACTTGGCACAGCAAACAGAAGAATTAAACGAAATACAGCAAACCAACAGAGATAACTCTGGAAGCCCTGAATGCAGCAAAATAAGAACAATGGACCTCAAGTTTAACAACTCCAGAAAATACATCTCTATCACTGTGCCATCCAAAACCCAAACAATGTCACCACACATTAAGTCAATTGATGACATTATAGTACTTGGCATAAATCTCAGCAAATTTAACAAACTTACTCAGTTTTTCATATGTGTTGCTGGAGTTTTTGTTTTTTACCTAATTTATGGATATTTGCAGGTAAATAGTTATTTGTTTGTAATATGTTAATCATTTATAGCAGTTAATTTCAGTATTAGCACTTACTAAAAATTTTGTCTGTGATATTTTTACTAAGAGTTTACCAGTTGATTTATAAATTTGAATTTTTCATAGAGTAATACAAACGGACTTCTTGAAAGGGTTAGTGAAAACAGAGTTTCAGAGTAAATTATTTTAAGTGGGGAGGGAAGATGATAATCTTTAAAAATGTAAATTATGAAAATATGTTTTTAAGTATTCAACAAAATGTAGATATTTGCAGCCGTGTGTTAGTTTTTAAAAAGAAGAAAATTTCAAATATATGTGATACCTGGGAACATAATTTTCCAATAAAATTATAGCACAATTCTCAATTCTTTGAGCTCAACGATAAAAGTCCTTTTTACAAAAATAGATCACGATATTTTAATTCATCTATAATAGACAAGTCCTTTTAATCTTTTAATAGTCAAATACTTCTCATTTTAACTTGTATTTTCTCTAATTCCACTTTGCCAGAATCTTATCTGTGATTTTTGTTTATACAGAACACTTCTAACTAACATTGCAATAGTTTGTTTTGTATTTGCATTGTATTTTAGGATAGTTCTATACATTTGGCCTGCAGCAAATCTCTAACTTTCAAAAACATGGGCTGGATGAGTGAGGTTCCTAGCTAGTAAAAATGTTATAGTGGGAATCAGTGTTATTAATGGCCATTTAATTAATGAATGTTTTTATCCTTTAGTGATTTAGATTTTTAATACAACTCCATAAAGTGAGAGAAGCTTTGTAATTCAAGAAAAGGAATGAGGTTTTCTGAAAACAGTATTTCTGGCATACATTAATACTAATAAATAAAGAGTGATTTCAAAAATATTACTTTTTCATTGTTTTATATAGATGAATTATAAAGATAAATGTAAATAAAGAAGGTAGAATTTTGACTTATTTAGCTAGCTAAGAGACTGCCATGAAGAATATTAATGTAAACCAAAACATGAACTAAAAATATTAATATTTACAATTGATTTCCTATTAGAAGATGATATAACTTAAGACATCATTATGAATAAGAGTTAAAAATAGAGATTGGAATTTCTCGTTGAAATTTTTTTATCCTTCAGTCTTCCACTGTTAACAAATAGCTTGGCACCAAAGGTACCTATAGCAAAGGAAAATGAATTAGAAGTTCACCTTACAATTTCATTAGATGCATTTTTCATATTTGATTAATGATTAAATGTTTTCGTTAATAACCAGTGGGTGCAGAGTTTTAAATTGGAAAAACCACTGCAAATTCCATTTGTAGTTTTACCTCTTTTACTTTGTGAAATTGACATTGTTCTTAGCTCTTGTGTATAATCAGGCATTGAAATAGTTCAAGGAAAATGGTTGAGGTTTGCTAATGTGACATATACATACATGCACACCTGCACATAAAGTAGGCAGTTTGATTTATTCATTTAAAATTAAGCCAGATAATTTCAGTAAAGTAACTCTTAATGACTTGTTAAAATGACTTTCTAATAAATGATGTAAATGTGATTTTATGATATAATACTGTGTTTAGGGAAAAGTTGTACATAATCTAGGGCACAAAAGTTTTGAAAAATTATATTATTGATTTGAACTATGTTTCTGTAGAATAGCCCTAAGATGATAGACTTCTAGTGAAATCTGTTCTTTATACGTTCTTGAGTCAGTCACCTCTTTCATTGTTTTGGGCAACTTTTAATTGTGGTGTGTATTTGCTTAAATAAAGAAGCACATCATGTTGCTTTGTATTTTCTGCTGATTTTCATACTTGGGTATGTAGGTTCAATTCTTGGCGAGAACTAATTTCTGACTTCTCTGAGGTACTATGGGGTAGGGGACTATGGCTTGATTTCTTTTAAAATGTTGTTTTTATGAGAATTTAACAAGAGTAAGTTGGTCTATCCACTTGAACTTAACAGTATCCATATGTCTTTTGACAGGAATTAATATTTTCAGTGGAGGGTTTTAAGTCCTATGGCTGGTACCTTACTTTAGTGCAATTTGCATTTTACTCCATATTTGGCCTAATAGAACTTCAGCTTATTCAGGATAAAAGGAGAAGGTATGTAGCTTGGTTTTTTGTTAGTTAAGTTCACTAGTATTAGTTGAATCTTCTTTTAGAAAAAAATTAGTTTGTTAAATATGCATGAAATGTATATTTCCTATTAATGTTATAATCAGCTTAATATAATTTTCTTTATACACTGATGCTCAACTTATGGTAAAATATATCTTTTTGAACAGAAATATGTATATTTTTATAAAGTTCACTAAAATAAGTATAATTACAGGAAGGTTTAGGGTGCAGCTGACATGGAAGTAATGAAGTGAAATATCTGTTTTTGTAGAGATTTTTTAAATGTGAAATTAATGTTTTGTGGGATATATCCAACTAAAATGGCCATGGAACATCCAGTAGCTAAGATTTTCACTCTTAAACATTAGAAAAACATACTTCATTACTTTTTGTTAAAATCTAAGTGGCTGGTTTGATAATATTTTTCAAATTAACAAATATCTAGAATTGAAAAATTTATGGCATATTTAACAACATGCATGGAAACAGTCTCTGATGATGAATAGAAGGTGGTTAGGAATTTGTGAAATTTTGATAAATGCAAGAAGAGTGGTCATTCCTTTATTATCACACCCTAATATTGATTTCACATATCTGTTGTGCAGTTCAAATACAATAAAGACTATAATATGGGCATTCTGTTTTCTTTCATGTAAATGTTTAATCCTTCAGTAAAGTGAAAATTTTTTTTAATTGAAAAAGTTTTCATAGCTTTGTTTTTTTTTTAAAAAAAATGATTTTGTGTGATGGTAACTGTACAATTTTAAGTATTTAATTCTGTGACATAAGATTCTTCCTGGAAGAATCTGTGACACGAGTTTCTTCACATATCCAGTTTTCCTGCCAAACTCTTTACTGCCAATAAACTGTTATAGTAAAATAAAAATATGTGAGTCTGAGAATATCATCTTCCTTATTTTCATGCTCTGAAATCATAACATATAGCCATAAATGATAGAATAAAAAGCAATGAAATATATCTATCAAGACTAATATGTAAGGAAACCTGAAGATTTGTTACCGATTGCAAACTCTTGGGCTTCCAGTTGCTTCTAAGGTAAAAAAGACAATAATGCCATATTTGTTAAGTGAAAAGTTACACAAAGATGATGTATCTCCTGTCAGATATCAGAAGGAAACATCTCCCGTTAGCTACCTAGATGAGATGGTAGTGGGCCATGTTTATCTCAACCTTTAAGCCATATGACCATAATGTGTTTTTAAAAGATAATTTGATTTAAACATAAGTGAAATAATCTGGGAGAAGAATTTACAGACTTAAATGTAATTTTGAATTGAAACTTTTTCCTTCCAAGGCATTGTAAATTTTAAAAACTGTCATTAAAGAAGATACAATGAAAATATGCCCAATCATGTATGACTTAATATACTTAATATTATAGTAGTATGTTTTTTAAACCTTTAATTAGCTAAACTGCTGCTTAGGGTTATATTCCCCCCCCCTATATTTATGTAAATAGCTGTGTATAGGAAAGAGAACAGGATTTGAAGTTAGAAAACATGGGTTTGAGTCATTTTGGTGCTGCTGCTTATTAGCTCTGGCAAAACCTCAGGGAAGTCACTGAAATTCTCAATTTTATTGGGAATCAAATGTGATAATGTGTGCTAACACTAATCATAAACTGTAGCACCCTATATATGCTACTTATTATTTTTCACCAAAGATTAATTCCATTTTAATTACTTTGATTTTTTTTTAACAAAGGAGATCTGTCAAATCAGATTTGAGAGGTTTTTGTTGTTGTTTTTGTTATAGTTTTGACACTACTTCTAAAGTAATTGAGGTATTAAATAAAATACAATGAGAATTCTAGAGGCAAAAAGCCAACTTTTTGGTAAAAAGCCAACTTCCTTATTTTATGTATGAGAAAACAAAGACCTACAGACTTGCTGAGATTTTCAGGTCTCCTGGGTTTCAGGCTCTTTTTCTTTCTACCTGTGCTATACTGCTTTTCTAATCTTGTAAATTTTTTGACTTGAACTTCAATTTTCTGGCCACCACCACTGTTTTTGTGATGTGTCTGAGGAAATTTGATTTGTATCATTACCAGGGAAACTTTCACTATATATCTTCACTGATTAGGACAATGAAGTTTACGGACAGTGTGAAAATGTTTTGGGGTACTCTATTGTATATGAGCATATCACGTTATTTCCAGTGGATTTAAATATTGATTACTGTATTAGTACTTACCTGGGAAAGGTCTCAAAATTGAAATGTTTAGATGTGATAAATTGTAATTAAGTTTTCCTAGTTAATTATTTTACCTTATGTCTGACCATATAAAAGATATGAGGGATTGTTGTTGCTTTTGTTTAAACATAATCACAAATTTCAAAAGGGAAATTACACTTAAGTATGTAGCATCATCAAATTATGTGAATAGTGACTCATTGTGTTTCTAACACCAGTGTACAACATTATTATTTTAGACCATTAAATATCTAGTCAGTGTGAGCATAGGGTCACAATAATGACTTGAAATTCTAAAGATGCTAATAAGGAATCTCCTTTAGGAAATTTATATAGAGCCGAAAATTAAAAGATTTTGAGATCAGAGAGATTGTTGTGACATTTTATAGAACACAGAGAGTTGATTTATAAGATAGTATAATAAAAATCATGTCTAGAATTTTAAAGCTCATGCACTTTTTTTCCTAAGAAATTCTGCTTAGGTTTATGCTAGCAGAACGGATAGATAATTTTTTCCTAATGCTAGATGGAAACATTAGGAAACAACAGAACAACAGTTTAGAAGTTAAATTTTTGTTGAAATTATTTTAGGTGCCTTTTACATTATAGAGGCTAATATTTTTTAAAGCAATTTCTTTTTCTAAATTTAGTCAATATTGTTTTTAACTGTAGCTAGAAATACTGTTTAAAACCCTTTGATCAATGTTTATACCTTTAGTAAGAATCTCAGTAACTTTTTACATAGTTGAGAGTCCTCATTTATGATTAGTTATAATAAAAGCAAATTGTTATTTTATCAGTGTTCTTTTATATAAGTGTTTCAACTTTAAGAGTAGTGATATTTTTACTCATATTTACAGAAATATTAACCAGAAATTCAAAAAGCAAAGTAGTATGAATTGGGTCCCCAAAATGAAGGTTTTAAAAATTGTCTTTTACAGAATACCAGGAAAAACCTACATGATAATAGCTTTTCTAACAGTGGGTACTATGGGGTTATCAAACACTTCCTTGGGCTACCTGAATTATCCCACCCAAGTCATCTTCAAGTGCTGCAAATTGATTCCTGTTATGCTAGGAGGAGTTTTTATTCAAGGTATAGTAATGATATATTTTCATACTATTTGAAACCAGTAGGACATGTTATGGCATCTAGCATTAGGAAAACACTAAGCATCTATCATATTTTAGTGAGTATCTAGGTATCCTAGCAGTTATAAGGGTATCTTACAAAAGTAAGGTATTATAAAAACATAGATACTTCTCTGATATACCTCATCTGGAATCAATAATTTGGACTTGAGAGAAAAGAATTTTACTTTGAAATGTAGGCATTTCTAGCAATACTGTATTCACATATTGAAGATTTAGCTCAGAAGTACCTGGAAAGTTCCTTTTCTCAATTCTTTTATTCTACTCTTCAGAGCCCACACTCAACCATTGTACAGTGGGTAATTGTCATATTAAAATAAGGCTTAGTCTGAGTGGGTTACTAACCCTGCTAACTTACTGATGTCTTGGAGCCCCAGCTAAGTTTAAAAAACATGAAAATATGAGAAGAGGATCCACAGCAACTAGCAGTATATCAAGTTGTTCTACCTGTTAGCTGTCATGAGGAATATTCATGTTTCAAGTGTTTCTGTATCACTAAATGTCTTATATAGCAACATTTTTATTTTATTCCTTCAACGCCTTCCCAATAAGCCTTATACAATGAAAGTGTGTTTTATAGCAACTTGACATATCATCATAGGGCAGTGGTTCGTGTGGGAAAAATTTACTTCAATCCATATTAAAAAATCACACTTTGGCAATCCCTGTTGGGTCCCCTCCCACCCTTCTGGAGTTGTCTCTTTTTTTCTCATATGAATAAATTCAACTCTATGCTTAAAAAAAAATCAAATCACACTTAACCTGATGAGGCACATATAATATTACTTATAATCCTTAAAAAATTATACTACGTTTCATTTTATTAAATGTGAATATCTCGTGGTATTTATAAACAAGGAAATCTTGCCTTTTAATATAAATCCATTAAAAACACTCATTTCTACAAAAAAATTTTAATACTTTCAAATGCACATTATTCTTGTCAGTGTTCACCAATATACAGTCATGTTCTACATTAGATGTTTCGGTCAACAGTGTACCACATAGGAAGGTGGTCACATATGATAGTATTGCCCAGGGAAATCATAACTGTTGTAGTCTGTGTAAGTATACTCTATGATATTTGCACAGCAATGTAATTACCTAAAGATGGGTTTCTCAGAACATATCCTCGCCATTAAGCAAATATGACCATGTGTATTTTATTCACTATCATAACAGATGATGTAGGATTCCATTTCTAACTTAAAGACATGCTGTGCCCATTGATCATTTAATCATCAGAAGCCCTTCTGTGACTGTCTCATCCCTGGATCTAAGTGTTCTTTATATTTTTGGCATTGGATATTAAAAAACAGATCCCAGTTCTATTGGGTTAAGCACATAGGTCTAACATTAGGCTTGATGAATATTCTCATAATGAGGTGGGCTTACCTTTGTTTTGTATAGGAAAGCGTTATAATGTTGCAGATGTCTCTGCTGCCTTATGCATGAGCCTAGGCCTCATCTGGTTTACCCTTGCTGACAGCACAGTTGCACCTAACTTCAATCTGACAGGTAAGGAATTTATAATTCTAGATTTTATAGGCATTTTGGTTTAGAGTAAGAACTTCTAAAATTTCACAAGGATTTTAAATGATGGTATAACATCTGTGATTCACGTATCTAACATAAGGCCTTTAGACGTTTATAGGCTATAGTAAAAATATCACAACTCTGGAAATGTAAGTTTTTGTAGTACCTTTTATTTCAACATAATGAGGCTGCCCAGTCAAAATCTTTGATGATCAAATGTAGGTTAGATTAATTTTTTACCTGCTGAATTATAACTGTGCACATGAGTAATAGGGGAAATACAGTAGTCATTGTTTCTACTCTCATTAAAAAACAAAAAACTGAGGACTGAAGATGTAGCTCAGGTTGTGGAGCACTTAGCATACAAGAAGTCATGGGTTCAATCTCCAGCACCATCAAACAAACACCAAAAAAAAAAAAACTTTGAAACTTGTGCATTTATTGTCAACGTTTGTGCTAAAGGGGAAAGATATGCTGTACTTTAATATTAAACTATGTAATGTATATATGAGTATTATCTGAAAGTGCTTAAATTTTCTACCAAAAAGTTTTCTCTTTAGTGTGCTATGTAAAATTTTACAAATTAAAGTTAGATTTGTCAAAAGGAGAAAAATTTTTATAGGATGTGCAAAAATATGAACAAAAATAAGTGTGGGCATCCTGTTCTTATTCTAGTTTACCTTTCAGATAAATTATTTTGTGGTATTATTGGGGTTTATTATATATACAGTGCTGCACTAAAATTATTGAAATAATTTTACTAATAATACTAATTTAGTATCATCTCCTAACTTGACAGACTTTTAAAGTATCTAGGTCTTCAAAGAAGCTCAGAGAAGAGCAAAAAAGTAATAATATCACCAAGTATAAAGTGTAATTGTTTCTGAGAAAAAATAATAAACTTTCACATAATGAAAAAAATATGTATTTTCCTAAGAATCAAGACATATTACCAGTTGTCAAGTTTTCCTCAATACCCTGGCTGGCCAGGCTAAGTGAATGGATTTCAATGTAAACAGTTCTGCCTCTCAAAACACCCACAAGAGTCTGGTAGGACCTACTCCATCTGCTCTTTAAACTTGATTATAAGCACTCACTGCTCATTTAAGAGAATGCTGTGAATTACAGCTGTTCTTGTTATAGTCTATATTTTTCAAGGAATGCTTAATTTTCACAAATCAGAAACTCTAAAGATTGTGAAATCAGCAGGAATTGATTTTTTTATTATTTAGGAAAAGGCAGTGTTGAAAAAGGTACATAATTTGTAATGAGAGTTGTAGATTCAAATTCTCTTTGAATTATTAAAAAATAAACAACCATGAGTAAATTACCACACCTCTTTAAGCTTCACCCATAGAACAAGATAATGATAAGTTGCCTCACACAGAGCTAGTGGGAAGGGGTATTAAGATGAGGGAGTAATGGGTGTGAAGCCACATGCAGTGAAGGAGTGGGAGGTGGGGCTCCTGTGGCACCATAACTTCTCATTGTACCTCTGGTGCTAGCCCCTCCTAAGTTTCAGCTGCATATTTTTGAAGAGAATTAGAACCCAGCCATACTTCATGAAGAATAATTGATGAGCGTTTATCCCTTCTCTGATCTTTGTAGAGTGTATTACCTAAAGAAGATGTGATAAAGTGGCCATTAAAGAAAAAACTTTGAAAGGAATAGTATAAACATCCAGACTTGCTCAAATAAAAATTTTCTTTAAATTATTCCCCTTAGAATACAATTGAAGTGTTTTCATGTTATTGCCATTATTTGGAATATTTTGGGGATTATCTTTGAATAGCCTTTCAGGAGGTAGGAAATTTCTTTGAAGATCCTCAAAAACCCATGTCTTTCAATATTTGAAACCAGTAAAAGAGCATTCAGCATCAAGTTTGGTACATAAAAATGTATGATTAGGCAGTAAATAATAAAGCTAGAACTTCTTCCTTAATACAGTAAGTTTTTTCAAACATATAATCTACAGTGAGAGTGAAACTCTTATTTAATGTTGAAATGCAATAATAACAGCATTAGTGTGACTTTTGTTTGTTTTAATATTTTCACCTATGTGCTTATTGCATCTGATTGTGGATAAGAATATTTAGCTTTACAGAGCAGGTGTGATTGAAAACCTGCCTTTGCTTTTTAGTCTATTTAACGTCTGCTAGAACTTGATTATGGTCCATGTGTTTAAGTAAGGAGACTGTTTCTTTTACCTTCTTGAAGGTGTCATGCTTATTTCCCTGGCACTGTGTGCAGATGCTGTCATTGGAAATGTTCAAGAGAAAGCTATGAAACTGCACAATGCTTCTAATTCTGAAATGGTAAATACTCAAGTGCTTTTTCCTTCGTGTCAGATTAAAAAATGGTAATGTGCTTATTTTTATGAAATAGAATATCAAGGACTTGCCTTGCATTTTTAAACTAATTTATTATTGTTTTCCTAAAGTAATCAGTCAGGCATTATAGGAAGGTAAAAAGAAAAACTACCACTACCACTACTAACAGCTGCCTGTATATTTAATCATTTTTTTCTCATTGATTTATAGTTTTTTTATCCATTTATAGAACCCTTTGTCATGTCATTTTATTCCCTGCTTTGTATTTAGTGTTATTTTCCATGTAAAGGTTTATAATTTTTATGTGGTCCAATTTATCTTTGACTTCTGGCTGGGAATTTTCCTAACTTTAAGATTTTTAAATATTTTACCATATTGTCTGGTATTATGATTTCCTTTTTTTTGTTAAATCCTAATTCAGTCCAAGACTCTAAAAATATTTTTCTTTCATGACTACTCTTTGTTCCAGTTACATTTATCAAATAAGGCCACTTTTCAGCTTATTTTAAATGCCTTCTTTATAATGTCATATTCTAATGTACAATAGATTTCACTTGAATTTATTTCTGCATCAGTACATATAACAACAGCAGCTTTACCATACCTTTGCCATCTGTTAGGACTAGCCAGCATTGTTCCTTTTCTTTTTCAGAACATTACTACCAGTAGTAATTCTTGGGTGTCCATACTCCCCCCTAAAAAAACTAGAAATCCCATTGGTATTGTGATTGGTATGGCATTGAATTATAAATTAATTTAGGGAGAATGGCATCTGTACACTTGATTCTTTCAGTCCAAGAATAAGGTATGACTTTCTTTTATTCAAGTGTTGTTGTTTTTTTAATGTCTATTAAAACTTAACATTTCTATCATAAATATCCAACACAGTTCTTATTAAAGTTATTGTTAGGTGTTTCTTTTGCTGTTGTTATTGTAAATACTTTCTTTTCTTTCAGTGTATCTTCTAACTGGTTTTATATCTAGGGGGGGAGAGAGAGAGAGAGTGAGAGCGAGAGCAAAGCACATTAATCTTATAACCAACAACCTTCATAGACAGAATGCATCGCATTAAGGATATAGAGGAGTATTCTTTGCTGTTACTTTCTCAGCACAGACTGGTGCATCTTTAAGTACATCCTAGTAATATAGTAACTTTATTCTTGATCAGTAATTTTCTTGATCATTATCACTACTTTTTCTAAGTAAGAAAAAGATGTCCTAAGAGGGAATTATGGAACTGTAGGTGGTTAGAAAGTTAATAAAATGTAGTGGTTAAGATGTTAAACTCTGATAGCCTTAGTTCATATCCTAACTTTACTACCTCATATTTGGGAAAATACATCTCTAAGTTTTAATAACTTCATTTGCAAATTACTGAGGAACAATAGACTAAGAACCTGTTGCATCCAGGCACGATGGACACACCTGTAATCCCAATGGCTTGGGAGGCTGAGACAGAAGGATTGTGAGTTCAAAGCCAGCCTCAGCAACTTAGCAAGACTGTGTGTTTAATAAAATATAAAAAAGGCCTGGGGATGTGGTTCAGTGGTTAAGCATCCCTAGGTTCAATCCCCAGTACCAAAAAAAAAAAAAAAAAAACCACTTATAGCATATGTTGGTTGTGAGAAATCTGTGAAGGAATTCATTTGGAGCAGTACCTGAGACTATTTATGAGGACTGTAATAAACAGAGATAAAATGGTTAGTAGGGAAATTAAGCAATAGATTATGCCTTCTACTGCTTATTTTCAATATATATTAATATCTCTTGTAAACTTAATGTTTGGGGTTCTTTTCGTGTTCTATAAGTAACTTTAATGGTTTCATTTTGATTGTATATATTTTTACAATGCTAACATTAAATCTGGTTTGTATTTAGTAATTAAACAAGGCAAGGCAAAAAAAGAAATAATTATGCACATGTGTAAGAAAGGATTTGTAGTGCTGTTATTTGGTACATAAGATAACTTGTAGTGTACTTATAATCCATTAGGATCAACCATCATTTCCAGAGAGTTGGGCCAAATGGGAATGATACTGCTACAAAGGTTTTGTTTTCCAAACTTAAATAAATTAACTGAACTCTACTTAAAACCCTCAATTTTCTATTTTGATTTGATAGTGCTCTTTCCCACTTTATCTATTCTAGGTTTTATATTCATATTCAATTGGTTTTGTGTACATATTATTGGGATTGACATGCACTAGTGGATTAAGCCCTGCAGTAACATTTTGTTCAAAGGTAAATACTAATTTCATTTTTTTAAATAAAATTTTTTTCTATAATCTTAATTCTCCTAATTTAAAAAGGCTATTGTTGGTATAATTTGATAACTCCTCTAATATTGTAGATAAGAAATGAAATGATAGATATTAGAATTTATTTATCCTTGCTATACCCTATTAGTTAATTTTTAAGCAGTTCATAATGTAGAAGTTGAGAAATTTAATTTCATCATTATTTTTCCATTAAATCAAAACTAAATAATGTTTGCTTGACTGCATTGTTGAGTGGCTTATTATTGCTTAAGAAGTTAATTAAAATCTGTGGTTTTAGTTCATTTGTAATATGTCAGGTTTTGTATTTTTTTAACAGGCTTTTTTATTTGTTGCAGAATCCAATTCAGACCTATGGTTATGCATTCCTTTTTTCCCTCACTGGATACTTTGGAATTTCTTTTGTTCTGGCTTTGATTAAAATTTTTGGTGCACTTGTTGCTGTAACAGGTAGGAGGGATTTATTTGCTTAGATAATGAAGTAAGCATTTATGTTTTCTCTGATGCTGTTTCCAAAAGACAAAAAAGTTGTTCTGTTGCACCAGTTTATTATTTGACTTAATAATTTCTTAAAATTATTATTCTAAAGCAATTGATATTTCAATTTAATTTCTTGTTTTCAAATTTAAAACATTTTTTTTTTTCTTTTTTGTGGTGCTGGGGATCAAACCCATGGTCTTACCTGCTGGGCAAGCACTCTTACCATTAAGCTACACCCCAGGCCCTAAAGGCTAAATTTTAAAGAAAAATGTGTGCACTTATCCAAATAGTAACTTTTAAATGCATTAAAAGAATTTGCTGTAAAAAATATAATGGGACGAATACCTTCAAAGAAAATATTACCTTTATACACTTTTAACTTATTACTGAAATTCCAGTTTCCTTGCCTTTCAAATATGATAGGTTCAATTTAAACCAAGCTTTTAAACCTTTCACTTGTATCTTTTCTAGTACAACAAGGTCTTTCTTTCTTCACTGATAATACTTATGCACCTGCTCAGTGCCAGGACTTTGCATGGCAATCTAGAGGAAGGAAGCTTGTATTTCTTGTTTTAGAGGAATGTCTAGTCATGTGAGGGGAGTCAGTAACTGGATATGCTTGTCATTTGCCAGAACTGAAATGCAGCCCTTATCTTAACAGTGTAGGCAGTTTTGTTTTGTTTTTTTCCTGTTCTGTGAAATCCAGAGGTGGTCATAAATAATACCTACTGCACACATAGCCCTTATTATATTGAGAAACCATTCTAGATATCTTATGTCTATTAATTATTTTAATTTTTGCAACAGTCCTAAAAAAGTAGGCTCTATTATTGTTCCATTTTATGGAACATAAAATGGGCAAACTGAGGCACAGGAAAGTTGACTTGTCTGATACTCATCTAGAGACAAGGTTCCAACCAAGGCCATCTGGTTCCATGCCAGTGCTCTTGACCATATTCTGCACTGCCTCCCAAGCACATGTAGTAACTCCATGGTTATCCATAATGCAGTCTCCATCTATCTTCTGGGCCATCTTCATTCTCCCTCCAGGCAGTGGGATGGAGTAAGGGAAGATGAAAGCTACACCTATCTCTTTATGGAAATTTCTTTCAAAAATTGTATTTCTAAAAACATTACTTCTGTTCAAGTTTAACTAGCCACAGCCTAATCACATGACCACACTGACATGAAGGAGAGACTAGAATTATACGAGCTAAAAACAGGTTCTTTTACCAAAAATAGATCCTGGAAATAAAGCCCTGGCACATGTTGCCGTAAGTTTCTTCATTTGGTGTTCATTCAGTCATGCCTTCAATATTGAGTACCAGCAGACTGTGGAATGTGGGGATCCAAGCATGAGGAAGGGGAGAAACTACAGCACATGGGCTGACAGCAGCTGACTCTGCGACATGGAGGAAAGGCTGTAATGCAGATGTGTGCAGTGCCTACCTCTGCCTGAGACGAGGGAGAAAGGTTTCAGCCTTATGGCACACTTCCAGCTGTAACCCCTAGAAGGACAGGGAAAAGTTAATACAGACATGTAAAGAGGATTGTAAAAATTATTCCGTCTTATCCAGAGATCACCATTTTTAAAATCATTTTATGTCCTTTTCTGTTTTTAACAAAGAAGCCCACTGTACCTAATCACATCCTCCTTAGGAGAGAAAGCCGTTCTATTCTTCTGAACTGTCTTTAAGGGATGGTGTGGCTCCACAGTACCATAGTGTCCACTGCACACTTCCTACAGCTGTCCTTTAAGCATTTCACTGTATTAAATATTCATGCTTCCCCACAAAGCCATAAACACAGTAGCAGGAACAGGGCCTGGTTGTTTGGTTTTTGCTTTGCATTGTTCCTGGCACCTCACATAGATTCTGGCATGTAGCTGGCTATAAATATTTGTTGAATACAGATGACTTCCAAAATGTTACCATGCTAAGAGGCACTTTCTAATCAATTTTTTACTCCTACAGTGACAACAGGAAGAAAAGCAATGACCATTGTACTTTCCTTTATATTCTTTGCTAAACCATTCACATTTCAGTAAGTACTTTTTAATTGCAACAAATTTCTCTATTTTTAGATATCATTTCACATTTCTTCTTAAATATCCTTATTTTCAACTTTTTTGCAGAAAATATATTGATTTTGTTTCGCTCTAAAGGTTTTATTTTATTTTTTAATTAATTAATTTATTTTAATTAGGTATATATGACAGCAGAATGCGTTTTGATTCATTGTACACAATTGTGGCACAACTTTTTATTTCTCTGGTTGTATACGATGTAGCATCACACCATATGTGCAGTCATACATGTACTTACGGTAATTCCACCATGTTTCCTGCCCCTATACCCCCTCCCCATTTCTTTCTCCCCTTTGCCCAATCAAAGTTCCTCTATTTTTCCCATGCCCCTCTCACCAGTGTGGATCGGCATCCACTTATCAGAGAGAACATTAGGCCTTTGATTTTTTGGGATTGGCTTACTTCACTAAGCATGATATTCTCCAACTCCATCCATTTAACTGCAAATTAAAAGAGAATAATTTTATTCTCTTTTAATATTGAGTAATATTCTATTGTGTAGAACAGTTTCTTTATCATTCATCTATTGAAAAGCATCTAGTTTGGTTCCACAGTTTAGCTATTGTGAATTGAGACTGCTGTAAACATTGATATGGCTATGTTACTATAATATTGCTGATTTTAAGTCCTTTGAGTATAGACCGAGGAGTGAGATAGCTGGGTCAAGTGGTAGTTCCATTCCAAGTTTTCTAAGGAATCTCCATACTGCTTTCCATATTGGTAGCACCAGTTTGCAGTCCCACCAATAATGTATGAGTATCCCCTTTCCCCCACATCCTCTCTAACACTTATTGTCTGTATTCTTGATAACTGCCATTCTGACTGGTGTAAGATGAAATCTTATAGTAGTTTTGATTTGCATTTTTTTAACTACTAGAGATGTTGAACATTTTTTTTTTTTCGTATGTTTGTTAATTAAATGTATGTCTTCTTATAAGAAGTGTCTGGTCAGCTTCTTAGCCCATTTATTGAATGGGTTGGAATTTTTTTTTTTTTCTTTTGGTGGTGGTTTTTGCAGTAAATTAATGTGGGATTTTTTTCCTGTTATGCTCTATAAGGAATTGTTTTCATTTTGACCTCTTATTGATGTCTTTTTCTGTTTTAGAAAGGTTTATAATTTGTTATTTCACATTTGTCATTTCGTATATTTAAATTGCCAAAACAGAGCCCAGTGCAAATGTGACCCTATTTCCTATATGAATGTGTACACTGTTGACATTAAGGGATTACCTAATGCCCTGGTACAAATTAATAAATACATATTTACAGTATGTGCTTTTAAAAAACTACTTGTTTATTTATGGCCTTTTTCACAAAGGATTTAAATTAGAGAAGTACTCTGTAAGTTGTGTCCTAGTGACTTAGTTTGTGGCTTTTTGTGAAATTGCTTACTGTTTTCTTTTTTGAGTGATATTTGTTTGAAAATAGCATCATGAATACTTGATACAGAACTTTAAAGGTAACCCTAAAATAAGTTTCCATCAGTGTTTAATAGATTATTAAATTGATAATAAATTGGTTTTCCTTTCTGCATGGGCTAGGTATACATTATAGTAATTAAATTATGCTTACATGTCCCTTTTTATCCTTTTGTATTCTGTACAACTGGAATAGGTGGTTGTACTGTGGAGTTGAATTCCCAAGATGGCTTTTAGTAGATTTATATACTCAATATTTTAAGCATAGTCTTAATACTTTGGTGACAGTAGTACTATATGCTATTATCCACAAAGTTCAGATGAACCTCATTGCATATGATACTTGGTATTTTTTATATCATAAAAGATATGGAATTCAAGCTAATCAGATATAAGAATACTATGTATTTTCATGCTGTTATCACAGGCCTCTAATACCAAAAAATTTATTTCATTGAAGAAATATTGTAGACTGATTATCAAATTCTTCTGTTAACAAAAATTATTACCTTGTGAAGTTTAATATTCTTTTTTTCTTATTTCTTTCATTTAGGTATGTATGGTCTGGTTTATTAGTTGTCCTTGGCATATTTCTCAATGTTTACAGCAAAAATATGGATAAAATAAGACTACCCTCACCGTATGATCTGATAAACAAGTCAGTGATTGTAAGAAAGTCAAGGACGTTAGCACAAACTGTGTAGGTACTGATTTGTCCTGTTTAGAATTTTAAGGGAACAATCAATCAACTTTCCAAAAGGACTGTGATAAAAACAACCAAAGGATCTGAAGGCATGCTTTGCATTTCTGGATGGATTGCATATGAATAGTGTTGTGGTATCAGCTGTTCTTCAGAGCACCTGTTTGACTGACTTCTGATGCAATCAAGAACCACATCTAGCACACCTTGCAATAAAATGTCTACATGAAGGACTGACTACTCCCTAGCAGTTTCTTGAGAAGTTCACTGGAAATGGACCATGATACAAGACTTTTTGGATATCATTATGAATACCAAACACTGATATGTAATAGCACATTGTTTTGTCTTCATTCCATTTTGGTGGTATTTAAATTGATTCTCTGTTATAAGAGTAACTTATGATTTAAAGTTTGGAGAGAATAACATTCATTATAAATAAAATAATCTTATGATTTTTTTAAAGGAATATGTTAATAGAATTTTGTTATAAAGACAGAAGTGAAAGTTGTAATAAGATTTAACATGAGCTTTAAAACCTTGGTCGGTCTCTTATGAGAATATTCTTCCGAGAAAACATGCCTTAAGTTTTATGTAGGATATAGGTAAGATAGTAAAAGCAGTCATCATCCTGTGTCATGTAAGTTTGCATCACATAAATAATTTGCTACTCTTTATAAAAGAAGTACAGAATGAATGATTAATTGAAAGGAAAGAAATGTCTTAAGTTATTATAAAATAATGAAATTTTCTAGTTTATCTCGTAAAAGTAAGATGTAATTTGGAAATTCAAAGATGAAGTAGGATAAATTTAAGAACTACAAGTAGATTTAGCAAACTTGGGCAATATTTTCTCTCAGTCCATTCAGGCTACTAAAAAGATACCATAAAATACCATATACCAGATAACTTATAAACACCCAGAATTTCTCACAATTCTAGATTCTGGGCAGCCTAAGAGCAAGATACTAGCAGATTTGGTATATGATGAGGGCTGCTTCCTGATCCTTCAATGGTGCCTTCTTGCTGTGTCCTCATATGGTAGGTGCTAATCCCTTCACCAGTGCTTTCTGCCCTCATGACTAAATCACCTCCCAGAGTCCACCTCCTCATCCTATCACATTACAAGGTAGGATTTTAACACATGAATTTGGGGTGACATAAACTTTCTTATGATAGCAATGTTGTTCACTTAGTTTTTAAACTCCTAAAGATTTTGACCCTTTTATACATTAATTTTTGGAATTGCTTCCACAATTAAAAATTCTAGCCAGGCATGGTGATGCACACCTGTAACACCAGCAGGTGGGGAGGCTGAGGCAGGAGGAACATGAGTTCAAAGCCAGCCTCAGTAAAAGCAAGGTGCTAAGCAACTCAGTAAGACCCTGTCTCTAAATAAAATGCAAAATAGGATTGGGGATATGGCCCAGTGGTTGAGTGTCCATGAGTTTAATCCCTGGTATCCTTCGCCCCCCAAAATTATATTTACCTTCATTTTCAGTATAGTCTGTGGTGATGGAAGTATCTAGCACAAGGAATTCTGCTTTGGTTTTTATGTGTCCCATTTGTTAAATATTGTGGGAATCATTTTTTTAAGTTTTCATATCTTAAATGGAACCAGTCAATTCCTGTGGGTTCAGATTTGACCTAGAGATAAACTGGCCTAGCCATAATTCTCATTAAAACCATGTTGTACAATGAGGGATTTGACTGGGCAAATTATCCCTTGTTCCTGGGAGACAACCTCTAAATCCTTGGAATTCCTCAAGTGATGAAGGTGTTAGTATTCATGATCATCCCCTAGGGAGTTTCAGGGCTGAAGCTGGCCATGCTAGAAAGACCATAGAATTGGATCTTTGAGCCACATGCTATCAGTCCAGCCTCTAAGGAAAGGAGGTAAGCAATTTAGGAATTGATTTGAACATCTGGGAACTGATTTTTTTCATATGTTCTGAAAAAGTTTGTTAATGTATATCTTAATTGCAAAGAATATTTTTTGAGGGGCTGGGGTTGTGGCTCAGTGGTCAAGTGCTTGCCTAGCACATGCAAGGTGCTGGGTTTGATCCTCAGCACCACATAAAAATGAAGAAATAAAATAAAGGTATAAAAAATATTTTTGAATCTGTAGCCAGAAAATATTTATAAAAGCAAGTAACCTTTACTGTCTAAAAGCCACAAGGAATTATTGCTGGATTTAGAAAAATAATAGAAACAAATGTTTGCAGTGGCATCATTGACACAAGGTCAGGGGACTAGTGAGAATAGTAAGTCACAGACATACACTGAAATTCTACACGTTAATCTTCCTTACGTTAAATTATTTTGTTAACTTATTTCTTAGCAGTGTGCAAATTCTTACAGAAGTGAAACACAGGTAGTATTTTGTGTGCCTGTTTGTAATTCTGAGGACTTGTTGCTTTACAAAGTTTCAAGAACATTTAATTAACTATTCCCTTTCTTTCCCCATTCCTCTACATGTTGCTGATTCTACTTTTATCTGTATATTTCTGAGCTGCCCTGTCATGGTTTCCATTTCTGCTGTCTTGCTACTTCTGGGAAGTCTCTCATTCCTGTCTTTAGTTGCACTGCTCTCTTCTGCATCTGTTCACCCTGCCTCATTCCATTCATTGTGATGGTATTTTTGATATTTCAATTACATATTTATACCTAGTATTTCCACTTGAATTTTTTTTTTTTTGACTTCTTGGCTTTATTTAAGGATGCCAGTATTTTTCCTTGTCTTTACCATGGTTCTTGTAAATCATGGGCCCCCTGTCCTAATCATTCTGTTTCCAATGGCAGATACTTTTTCAGTTGTGTTTTGCAGTTATCAGACACCCCAGCATAACTATTGGTAGTTTCCCTCCAGCTGCCTTCTGCATTTGTGCTCTCCTCTGCTTTCAATCCAAAGTTAGGACAGCCTCAGTCTCCCCCAAACCTCGATTTTGGTATTGTTTTTTCCTAGAATCCACCTGTCTGTCTGTTCATCTAAATCAATCAACCCCACCTCCCATTTTACCAAGGTTGGTTTTGGAAAGGAAACTTCTTCCAACTCTTTGTCATAATGGTTTATACTACTGATTCACAGATTTACCAGTCAGTTACATATAAATGTTGCTTGTAGGCTGCAACATTCTGATTCAATTTTATTTTAGAATTTTTTTTTCATTTACCAATTTAAATTGGTAGAATTCAAACTTAAGCAGTAAGATTTGTAATGGCTTACAATTTAAATACAGATTTCAAATCTGACAAAAATGAAATGATGGAAATATAAAATATTCAGTTCTAGCAATAAACTTGTTTCATATTATGTCTAATTAGGTGAGATCATTTTTAATCCATATGTATAATCATTTAAGATTACAAAACTTTACTTTAAAACTTTGATTATTTGAGATGACGCCAGTTCATATGGCTTGTAGGAGTTCCTAGTTCTGTCATCTGGTATATATATCATTAATAAAAATAAAACGAGGTAGGCAGGAAAGAAATAATTTGTGTCTCACAGACATAAAAATAGGCTTCAGGAAGATCAATGATGTACCTAAGATTGACATGTAGCAAGTGGCAGAATGGGCCTGAGTCAGTGTCTTTGAACCTGGACCCTAATGCCTCTCTGATGACCCACTATTCCAGAACCCATTCCCTTTCCAGCCCACCACACCAGAAGGTTAGAATTGACATCCTGCAACTGTTTGCCCTCTGAAAGGACATAACATTGATTACTTGCCTTCTCTGTCACACTTAAACTGGACAAGACTTTCCAAGGACTTTTGTAGACCATCCTGCTGGTGTACCTAACAACCCACCAAAGGGGACTCTTCTCCAACCAGGATTTGGGAGGATGGACATACAGTAGTATAGTGAAAAAGTATTCTCTGCCTGTTATTCTTGATCAGCCAGATGCACCTGTGCATGAGGGAGGTGGCTGTTTAGAGGTAAACACCTCAAGTAATCCTACCTGCAAGGGATGGGCTCAACAACAGAGAGGTGCTTAGGGTCAACTTGGAGAGGGGGATAGAATGAAAGGACCAACCCAAATCCAAGTTTCAGTTGAAGTGGGTCCTGAGCAAGAAGCCAGACAAATGTAGTCAAGACAAGCTGGAAACAAAATATCAGGCAGAAGCTTAGTCATGAGAAAAGGTAGAGAAGGTGTGATCCAAAGTCATGAGGAAAACAAAGGGAATCTGACTCCTGGAGCTTTGAACTCCAATGACCTCTTGTCCTCCCTGTAAGAGATCAAGATGGGACTAAACCTAACAGCAAGGGGGCAGGGATTGAAGGTCATTAGCAATGGAAATTTTTTTTTTTTTTTTTTTTTTTATAATTTCTACATGCTAGGTTGACTTCTGGCCATATGTTCTTTTTTTTTTTTTTTTTTTTTTTTTTTAATTTTTTATTGTGGGTTGTTCAAAACATTACAAATTTCTTGACATATCATATTCCACACTTTGATTCTAGCGGGTTATGAACTCCCACCTTCACCCCATACACAGATTGCAGATTCACATCACTTACACATCCATTGATTTACAAATTGCCATACTAGTGTCTGTTGTGCTCCGCTGCCTTTCCCATCATCCACCCTCCCCCCTCCCCACCTCTCCCCTCCCCTCCCCTCCTCTCTCTCTACCCCCTCCACTGTATAACCCTGAGGGTCTCCTTCTATTACCGTGCAATTTCCCTTCTCTCTCCCTTTCCCTCCCACCTCTCATCCCTGTTAAATGTTAATCTTCTTCTCCTGTTCTTCGTCCCTACTCTGTTCTTAGTTACTTTCCTTATATCAAAGAAGACATTTGGCATTTGTTTTTTAGGGATTGGCTAGCTTCACTTAGCATAATCTGCTCTAATGCCATCCATTTCCCTGTAAATTCTATGATTTTGTCATTTTTTAATGCAGAGTAATACTCCATTGTGTATAAATGCCACATTTTTTTTTATCCATTCGTCTATTGAAGGGCATCTAGGTTGGTTCCACAGTCTTGCTATTGTGAACTGTGCTGCTATGAACATCGATGTAGCAGTGTCCCTGTAGCATGCTCTTTTTAGGTCTTTAGGGAATAGACCAAGAAGGGGAATAGCTGGGTCAAATGGTGGCTCCATTCCCAGCTTTCCAAGAAATCTCCATACTGCTTTCCAAATTGGCTGCACCAATCTGCAGTCCCACCAGCAATGTACAAGTGTACCCTTTTCCCCACATCCTCGCCAGCACTTGTTGTTGTTTGACTTCCTAATGGCTGCCAATCTTACTGGAGTGAGATGGTATCTTAGGGTGGTTTTGATTTGCATTTCTCTGACAGCTAGAGATGTTGAGCATTTTTTCATGTACTTGTTGATTGACTGTATGTCCTCCTCTGTGAAGTGTCTGTTCAGGTCCTTGGCCCATTTGTTGATTGGGTTGTTTGTTCTCTTATTGTCTAATTTTTTGAGTTCTTTGTATACTCTGGATATTAGGGCTCTATCTGA